ACAATTTGTCCAAGGCAAGACGAGCACTTCTACCATGGGACCTGGGGAGCCAGTATGGACCTTTTAGACCTTCTGACACTAGTCGGGGATATTGGAACAGCATTGGGGAAAGGCTTGGCTTGGTAGATTCCAATCTGGGCTCATGATCAATGACATCAACTGCAGCGACTGCTCATACTGTCTCAACAACTATCAAATCGAGGCATTGATTTGAACGAATCTTGTGACATTTTCTCATTCCGAGACCCTCTTTCCATGTCACTGACTTTATGCAAATGACCGATTGAGAGGCGCCGTACAATGCCCCTTGACCGAGAGTCATCTGTCCGGCCTTTCAAAACGTCAAGGGAATGTTTACTTCTGAATCATGGCTACTCCAAACGCCGGACATAACATGTAGATGATCCGAGTACAACAGAAACCGGAGCAACCGAAGAGTGGTGGATAAAACCGACGAATGGTCGGCAGAGGCTCCCCCAACATTAGGCGTGTCTTCGACATTGTATCCAGACCCATGTGAAATGTTGCCTGTAAGAAAGTCAAGCTGATCAACCTGGCCCATGAAACAAAACACCGTACGCCGTCTTTATCGATATGCAAGCCCTTAGCTCCGCAAGGCCTCCAGCCTGTTGCGCATCTGGTTCATCATCGCCTCAGCGTCCTCCTCTTCCTCCTCGGCCTCGACCGGTTTGGGCTCTTGCGTGACCGGCGCAGCGGGCAGCTTCTCCTTGGACATACGATCCTTCAGGATCTCGCCGAGGACCTTGTCAACCTCGCCCTCGGCCTCCTCCTCTTCGAACTCGTCCATGTCCTCGGGCAAGCTCTCGCCAACCATCTCTTCGATGATGCCAGCCTTCATCAGCTCTGCGCTCAATTCCTGCATGGTACCGGCTAGCTCGGGCAGCCGAATCAAACGATTGACATCCTTCATCACGCCGACACTCGCGCGGATGCTGCCCTCGATCTTCCTCACGGCAAATGCCTCATTGACTTGCATCTGCACGCTGTTCAGTTGCGCCTTGGAGGTGACTAAGCGGTTGCTCGTCTTTCGCGCGCGGATGAGTTCCCGTGCGAAGTCTCGGGCTTCCTTCTGTGCTTGTTTCTGCCTCGTGGGGTCTCGTTGGGCTCGTTTGTCGGCTTGGAGAATGAGGTTCTTCGTCTTGGCCTCCACTTGTCTGACTTGGTTGATGTCGCGGTCGAGTTTACGGATATTCGAACGGATGAGGGCGTTGCATTTCCGCAGCTGTTCAAGAAGAAGGAAATCGTTAGCAACTCTGGGCCTGTCTGTCACAAAAGGCACAACCTACCTGTTGCTGCGGATCAGGCTTGACAAATATGGCTCTGAGTGTCTCCATGTTGTGCGAGTCGACAAACAGAATGGCCGGAGAAGACCGTCAATACGCAGAGCCCCGGATTCCGATGTGTCGCTTTGGTATACAGTGAACGATTCTTCGTAACGCGTTGTGTTGGGCTGTCGCCAGCCTCGTCGGTTGACAGGTTCAATCAGCACTGCCTTGGGTTGGGAAGCGATGTGTCGTCATTCCCTGCCACTTGCTTGCCGTATCGACTGATACGGCTTGTGGTGGGGGATAGTCATCACGTGGGGAATGTGCGGTTGATATGTACTTAATCAGCCGAATGTCTTTATGCATTATATATATCTTTCGCGTACCGCATTAAGCGATGCGGATGCCCAGCCAGGAAATCCTCGGCTTCCTGAACAAGGCACCTCTGACGGCGATAGGAAATGCATTTGAGTCAATGACTGCAGCACTAGGTTCATCCTGAAATACAAATGCCATTCAATCGGTAATCATTAGCATGATTGAAAGTCTACGAGGCGAATGGAAATGGGAAGATGTTCCGCCCTTGTGCCATCTAGCGGACAGTTTGAGAATCCGACTGCGAGCAGTAATAAGTAGCACGTAGGTAGGCGAATCGCATATTCCGGGCGGCCCGTATTGCAGCAAATGAGACCCCTGGTGGATAAGGAAATCGGTGAGGGCCCATGATGATCTCGCTGCCTAGTTGTCCCGCGTCAGAAGACAAGATGAAGTTACGTTGGCTACCAAGATAACGAGCAGAGTGATGCTCGGGTCCGGTTGGATGACGGCGGCTCCGGCACTGTGAGACTGGGGAACACAGAGCAGAACAGACGTCTCATCTCGCTGGAAAATCAAAGATTCCCGATCGCCTTACATTAGTTGACACAAGGCACAGACTGCTCGAGGTTGTTTTATTTTGTGCATGCGTCTACCATGATGCGCCTCACCAAGAGCTGCAGGCGAGCGACATCTATCCACTCAGAATGCTTCTCTCGCCTATTTCGTGGGGTTGCAGGGGGGCTGGAAGCTCTTTCGGCCGTGAAGCAAAACGTCAGCAAAGAGGGGAAGACAGGGAAGTAGGTACTTACAACTGGGGCTAAAGTCCCACACAATAAGAAGTACCTGGTAGCAGCTGGAAGAGGCTCGGCCAGGTACCTGGCACAGCCAAAAAGAGGACCGAAAAAAAAAAAACAGCCCTTGACTAGAGGGAGGAGGGGAACCTGGAGGTGGAAAAGGAGACGGAATTTCTTACCTACCTTAGGTAGTGTACAGTGCGTTCAGCCCTGCCAGGGTCCGGTCCGCAGCGGCCCAGTGGTGGTGGCAGCACCACCTACAGTTGGGCCCCAGTGCCAGCCCAGTGCTCTGCTGGCTAGGTACTTGCTAAGGTACGCGCTGCGTGAGGTAGGTAAGTTAGGTGCTCTGTGCTTCCTGCGGCCTGGTGTGGGTTACCACCAAATCTTTCGGATTCGAGCGCCTTCTACAATTGCCCGTGATCTCCAGGCGGTAACTAGAACCCACCCGGCCTCACCCCAACCAAGTGGAGGGCCCAGCCTTTTCAAACCCGTAGCCTCACAAACCCCTCCAGCTTCTCTCTTCCACACACTCAACTGGACTTTCACATCCTCCAACTCTCACAGTAGTTGTCGATATCTGCGCAACTGCTATTCTTTATACCCTTCCTTCCTAGGTCAATTTGTCAATCACGATTGCCTACTTGCGATACATTTGCGCTCCGCGTGAATCAACATACCCCTCATCCCCCGTCATAGCTCCCTTCTCGACAAATTTCCACCAGCAGAATGTCTGCCACCACACAAACTCCTGAGGGTATGTGCAAGCTCATCTCCCCTTGGTCGCATTCTAGAACTCCAATCGCTGCTTCTCATCTCCGACTGCAATCTTTGCCGTGTTGATTTCTCCAAAACACGAGCTTCCCCCAAGTCGGAACCTGTGCTCGGGCTAACTAGGTGTCTCCATAGTCCTCTGGGCTCAGCGCTCCAGCTCGTCAGACGCCTCCAAGAACTTTGTCTACCTGACGATCACCGTTCCCGATGTTCCCAAATCCAGCCTCAAGGTTGACCTCAAGCCCACCGGCTTGTCCTTCAGCGGTCACTCCGACTCTTTGAAGCGCTCGTATGCCGTAGACCTCGAGCTGTACGCTGAGATCGATCCCGCCGAGAGCAAGGTCAACCACACCGGCAAGAACGTCGAATTCAAGCTCCAAAAGAAGGAACTCAAGGAGGAGTACTGGCCCCGTCTGCTCAAGGAGGCCAAGAAGGTTCACTTCCTGAAGACCGACTTCGACAAGTGGGTCGACGAGGATGAGCAGGATGAGGCTGCTGAGGAGGATTTCTCTCAATTCGGCGGCATGGGTACGTGTTTTGCAAATTCCCTCCTTATTTGGCACCCCGCGGTGGCGGCGCAAGGCATAACAGAGTCTCTTCACGTTCAAAGGCTGATATGGTGGCTTAATAGGTGGTATGCCCGGTATGGGTGGCCCTGGCGGCGGCGACTTCGGCGGCATCGATTTCTCGAAGCTGGGCGGCGGCGGCGCACCGGGCTTGGAAGGCTTGGGAGAGATGGATGATGAGGAAGATGAGGAGGAGGAGGACGACGATGATATGCCTCCTCTGGAGGGCGAGGAGGACGACGGCAAGACCGCCCCTGCCGCTGACAAGGCTGCTGAGAAATAAGCAATCTCTTCATCACGCACCCCGAGACGACTTTCCCGGCACTTGAACCAGCAGTTCTGGCTGCAATGCCCGTGGATAACGCTCTAGACTAACGACCATGAATGTACTCTTTCGAATCAAAAGACAAAAAGAAAAGATGATCCGTGATATTTGGGACTGGTTTCTGTTTATTTCCGATGAGAAGCGGAGGCTGGAACGTTTAGCGAATGGATATCATGGCTCTCTAGGTATTCCTCCAACCTCGCTGTAGGAGTATTTCCCCCGCGAAGGCCGTTTATCGTCTCTCCCTGTAGGCGCCCGGTCCACAAGGAGGTGCGCATAGTTATGAGAAGACGAATTGACCCAACCAAACACCATGGTTCCCTTCATCGGCAGACGCAAGCCTGTCATCCTTTGTGCCCTAGCCATGATCTATCTCTCTTGCCTCTGCAGCACATCATCTTTCGTGCTAACAACCAACTACCTTGTGTCTCCTTTTCATTAATTGGAAATCTGATATTGGCCAGGAAACACGTTTGGGTATACGGCAACAGCATTTTCTACGGGCGGTCCTCTTATAATGGGCACCACAATGCACTGGACGAAAATTGACGTTGGGGTTGGGGGCTCGGCGCTTTGTGTATTAAAGTCTGTCCGACTTGGGGATCGCTATAATACATGCCCTGCTATAACATGGGCGAAGCGGATGGGTGATGTGATATTCCGGCTCTATGAAGCCTTGATCGGTGTTTTTGTGATGTTTGGGGTAGTTGCCGGAAGGACGAGAGAGGTAGTCTGAGAGCTTGAAAGAAACCAAAACATGTCGAAACCAAAGCCATAATCCCGTAACCTCCGTGTCTTCTCTCTCCTTCCAGCAATCTGTTTAAGAGGTTCGGAGACGCGCACATAAGGAAAGTTCGAGGGACTCCTCGCGCGGTGTAAGCACTTTGACCTCCTCAGTGCCCTGCGTTCTGTGAATGAGTCTGAAGGAGCAAGGTGCCGTTTACATGATCTCGTCCTCCATAGCAGCGTCGCCGTTGGTGGCGGCCGGAGCCGGAGCGGCGGAAGCAGCGTTCTCATTCGGGTTGGCACCAGACTCGAAGTAGTCGGCCATTTCGGAGTCAAGCTCCTCCGCCGTCTTCTTCGCAGGACGGCCGGTACGCTTGGCACGAGGCTTCTTGCCACCAGTGCCAGCGGCGGCAGGACCACCCTTACCGGCGTTCGCGTTGTTGCGCTTGTTGTTAGCAGCGGACTTGGGCTGAGCCTTAGGCTGCCTACTATCTTGTTAGTGAGCACTTCCTAATTTCTTGATATGTTGCTTACGTGGTGCGCTCAGCAAGTGTCTTCTTCGCAGGGGGAATGACATTTGCTGCCTGAGAAGCGCCAACGACGATCTCAATCTAATTCCAGTTAGAAGAACGTCTATGGACGGAATTACTATGAGGAGCATACCTTGATCGGGCGGTTGTCAACAAGAAGACCATTCAGCTTCTGGAAGGCTTTGCTAGCGCCATCCGCCTCGCGGAACGTAATGTTGGCAATGCCACGGCTGACAGAGTTGGGTCCGTAGGAGATGTCGACTCTCTTGATGGGTCCAACTGATGTAAGAAAGTACTCCTGATGGGAAAGTCGATGTTAGTTATCCGCAAGCGTTGAGGTTTTCAGTCACTATCGTTGTTCGAACCCGCGCCGCACAAGGGGCAAGACATCGAAAGAAATCCAATGGTCGACCGGAGCATAGGATATTGGCAGCGAGCAGAGCAGTGAGCGTTAGTACGCACGTCAACGTCCATCCCCAAACAAGCCCCATCTTGAGCCACGGCTGTCTCATGCTCAGTTGCCATCAAGTCGGAGGGTATCACCCCAAGTCGTAGTAGCTGCAGCAGGCAAACGTCGTAAAACGTAGCCGTAACGCCTCTTTGGAGACCACCATTGGCGTTTCAGAGTAAATTGGCCATGTGCACTAGGCTCCAAACCTCCGCTGAACTGCCATCCGATGTTGTAGGTTGGCGCATCGATAGCAATGAAGCTGTATATCGAAGCCGTCCTGGCCTGTACTGCGACGATGCTCACTGCTTTGCTCGCTGGAAGGTGCTGCATGTAGCACTGTCATGCTGAATGAGCAGTACCAGACCGAGCTGGTAATGTGGATATCTGTCGAAGACAGCCAACGTCCCATATTTTCAGTCGGCGGAACCAATTGCTTGGGTGCTGACCAGGCGACCTCAAGACGGTACTGTGTTTGCGCGACAGGGACGTGCTCAACTTCTGATGAGCTCTGCGCCATTTCTCAGGATCGCAGACATGGAGGAAGGAGTCTTTGCGGCGTCTTTGACAGATTCCGTTTGGGAAGTGGCAATGGCCACAATGGATTGATCTCGCTACGACGCCGGTTGGGAAGGAGAGCAGGCGAGAAATGACATGTCGAACAAAGTCCGAGGGCTGAAGAGCCTTATCGGCAACATACCTTGATCTGTTGCTCGTTGACATCCTTGGGCTTTGTATGGGTTAGCTTGCACCAGGACTGATGGGGGGGGGAGGGGAGCAGCTTACCAGGTTGCTCACGATCACCTTGCTGTCACCAGAGCCTTGCGCGGGCTTGGCGACATTGGGCTTGTTGGCGACGGCGCCACGGGCAGGCCGCGATGTCTTTTGAACACCGCCGACTGGGGCAGCGGCCGCAGGGCGACCACCAGTGGATCGTCGCTGAGAGCGACGGCCGGGTCCACCTGTAGAGCGACGTTGGGTCGAGAGAATCTCGTCGAGAGACTGGTCAAGCTTTCCAGACATGATTGTGAAATGGGATATGTTTCGTGGAATGCTTTGTTTGCAGTGGTGCTGCGATAGAGTAGCAGCTGGTCGATGGTTCTCTTCAAGTATTATTAGGTCGTGAAGAGCGTGATGCGGAGCGAGGTGCTGATGTGATGAAGAATCAAACTTTGACGCGTAGCTTTGCGCGCAAGGAGTGGTCGGTCTGAAGGGAAAGGTACAGAATACAAAAGCTGCGCAAAATTTTGACGATGCAGCTGAAGAAGTAAAAGTTTGGTCTTGAGGTCGAGGGGTCTTTTGGATGTTGGGCGAAGAAGTCTGTCTTGGGAAGGAGAAATGTTGCGGGATGAAGGAGATGGGCAGGTAAAGGCGAAATGGGAAAGGAGACGGGGCATGGTGCCAGCGGAGCGGCAGGCTGCGGCGCGCCTGACCAAAACAAGGGGGGCCTGAGGACCCAGTTGGCAGCGGGAAGTTTTGATTGGATGTGTTAGTCCGTTTTGGGCCGAGAAGGACCCGCCAGAGCTTGCTGCCTCCTCAGCCACATATCCCCTGTCTGCGCCTTCCAATTGTTACATTCAGGAAGTACCCAGGTAGCTGTTCACTTCACTGGAAGTCTTGCAAGCTCTTCTCTCCTTTTCTCTGGTGCTGTGGTCAGATGCATCCAAAGGTGAGAAAGGTCAAAGTATGAAAGAGGGTAAGAGACAAATGCAATCCCAAAAAGCGCCAGTGTCACCAGAAGATACGATTGATTCAGCAGGCTATTATGAAGCATACATGGGATTTGCTTGGAGAGAACTAAGACAGGGTAGGGTACCTCAGGTCATGGATCTTGGTATCTAGCATTGTCATCGAAAGAACATGATATTGAGTCTGTGCCGTGAAACCCTGCAATAACTTGAGTTTCATCACGGGGTCCAAATGCTCTTGAGGGCTTGAGCCTGATGAGAGTGGCTTCTGAATGGTAATGCTCTAATGTTTCGAGTCTGGAGGTCAGGAGCGTGTAGACTCTCCGAGTATTTGCTTCTTTGACTGCAATGACTTGCAAAGCTCTGTGTTCTTCTTAGGTGGGAATCTCCGGTTGTCAACGCCTGACGGTGCATACTCGATAGCACCTGTCCCCTTCGACATTGATAATCTCTCGTCGGTCGATGTCGGCCCAAGCCTTACGTCTCAGTCGTCCCAAGACGGCCACAGAGTCCCCAAATCTCCATCGCCATATGTATCGTACAGCCACCTTCCATCGGCATCTGACTACCTCACTTGCGCGCTTTCGTGGTCTTCTAGGACACTGCTTTGGCAGACTTCGCGGGTCGCACTGCCTTCTCAGGCTTTTCCCCTTCCGTGTTGACTTCTACATAGTGGTAGAAGATAATCAAAACCATGGCCGCAGAGCCAAGGAAAATCGCAAGGCGGTAGAGATCGTTGTCGGAAATCATGCTGGGCTCGAAATCGTTTGCGCGATGGTGCTTTTCGGTGATGTGACAGAAGGGTCTTTGGGGGGGGTTTCTGGCTTTTGGGTGTCAGTTTTCGTACAATTATGCCATGAAAGACGATAAGACTTGGCATACAGTGAGTGTCTTTCTTCCGAATAACGATGGAAGGAATCGGGATTGTTCGTCAGGGTCGGCTACTTGGACTTGCTGGCGCGACGCACATGGAGCTTGAGATGAGGATGGTGATGGGCGGCCGAACGGACAACGAGACCACTGGAGCTGTCCACGCTTAGACCGGCCGCGCTAGGAAGGACCTGTGCTTGAGTCGGTCCTCCACTCTACTTAGTGCCGCATCCCCCTGGTCGAGCCTGTTGTGACGCTCCGCCCCCACCAATGTAAGCCCTTCACGTGACCCGCCCACCGAGCCTTGGACTTCTGACTTCATCCACGCCGCTCCCACTCTTCTTGGAATTGGTGTGATAACTTTTTGCGTTGCGTCGATCTGAGCGGACCCTACCGAATCGTCTGTCGACATCTCAAAACAACACGACCAAAGTTAAAGCCGCCAGAAGCGGTCTTTCAGTCGTTGCAGAAGACTTTTGCTTCTGCCCACCAACTTTTTCTCGTCTTTAGAAACCGAATACCCCGCCAAGATGCCTCCCAAGAAAGTGGACAAGCCGGCCAAGAAGGCCGTCAAGGTCGAGGACAAGACCTTCGGCATGAAGAATAAGAAGGGAGGCGCAGCCCAGAAGCAGATTGCCCAGATGGCTTCTTCGATGAGGAACGGCGGTAGTGCTGAAGAGAAGCGCAAACAGGCGGAGAAGGAGGCGAGGGAGCGGGAGAAGAAGGCGGCGGAAGAGGCCAAGAGGGAGACTGAAATGCTTCTGAACAAGCCCATGCAGATCCAAAAGGTTCCATTCGGTGTCGATCCCAAAACGGTGGTTTGCAATTTCTACAAGAAGGGCAACTGCGAAAAGGGCAAGAAGTGCAAGTTCTCTCACAACCTCGAAGACGAACGAAAAACGTCGAAGAAGAACCTGTATACCGATACCCGCAAGGAGGAAGAGGAGAAAAAGAAGGCCGAGACCTCTGCCGACTGGGACGAAGAGAAGCTTCGCTCTGTTGTTCTCTCCAAGAAGGGCAACCAACAGACCACTACCGACAAGGTGTGCAAGTTCTTCGTCGAGGCCATCGAAGACGGCAAATACGGATGGTTCTGGATCTGTCCAAACGGCGGCGACAAGTGCAAGTACAAGCATGCTCTGCCACCAGGGTAAGTCACGTCAGTCCAGCTGTCAACCCCTATGCTAACGCGGTCACAGATTTATCTTGAAGACCAAGGAACAGCGAGCGGCCGAAAAGGCCCTCATGGACAAGTCACCTCTCAAGACCCTCACCCTGGAAGACTTCCTCGAGTCGGAACGACACAAACTCACCGGCACCCTCACACCAGTCACGCCAGAGTCATTCGCCAAATGGAAGAAGGACCGACTGGACAAGAAGGCGGCTGAGGAGCAGGCAAAGAAGGCCAAGGAAGCAACTGGTCGTGCCCTGTTTGAAAGTGGCAACTGGCGAACAACGGAGGACGATGATGAGGAAGACGACGATGACGAAGACGACGGAATGTGGAACTTGGAGAAGCTACGAGCCGAGACCAACGCTCTTCGCGAAAAGAGGGAAGAGGAACGCCTGGCTGCCATCAATGGTGGCCCTGTTCCACCAGTGGTACCGGAAACGGAAGCTACCGAAGCGTCCGGGTCTTGAGCTCGCTAAAAGAGGAGAACCCTTCTAGTATGCGCCCGAGGCTGCGAGCATCACCACGAAACAGGCCGATTCCGAGCACCTGGAAAGCCAGGTTCATCCGGTGGCCGTGTGGATGCTGGGCCAAGCCACGGTGGCAGATCCGTCTACTCTCACACCTAAAATCAATGAAGTATGACTACGTACGCAACGTGCACATCAACTTCCGAAATTGAGTACTCGTGAGACTACCGATGGGATATATTGAGGATTTTGGCTACTTAGAGAGAGGCCAGAGAACGCTGGTTGTTACATTCAATCATGACGTAGATCTATGCTCTACACCCTTCGTTCCAGTTCCAACCTTGCTCGTGCTTAGAACTTTTCCACGTACGGTCTGATGTCAACCTCCTGAGTAAACGCGGAGCGGTGTTGCGTGTGCAGGTGCCAGTAGGTTTCGGCAATCTTGATGTTGTAAGCCAAGGGGTCGTTTGAGTATGCTACGAAGTCACTTACCGCATCTGGTGATATCTTGCCATCTTCTACACCGCCATTGGCGACGAAGGCCTTGCCCCAAGGGGTGTCGATGCCTCCATCGATGATGGCGTGTGAAACGTGGACACCCTTGGGACCGAACTCTCGCGCCAAGGACTGGCCCAAGGCGCGGAGAGCGAATTTGCCCGCCGCAAAACTTCCAAATAATGCGCTGCCTACGGCATTAAGTCAGTCATCTTTCAAGAAATATACGCTTCAAGGACAGACCTTTGATGGACGCTGTGGCTCCAGTGATGATCAATGACGGCGGGTGAGGGGAGTCGGGCACCGACTCAAGCAGCAGGGGAAGCGTTTTCTGCGCGAATGTGAAGAAACCCTTTCTGCACGCCATGCCTGTTAAATCGCTTCGTATAAATCAGGGATGAGGTCTCACGTACGGCGCGGCATCAAGACTAGCGTCAAGCTCCTCCCGCTTGAGCTCAAGGAACGGCTTGCGGGCGAAACCACCGTTTACGTTGTAGATGGCGGCAGCGAGCTTGCTTCCGGGGAGCTCCTTCTTGATCGTCTCAAAGGCGGCGTTGACGGCGGCCTCATCTGTGGCATCAGCCGTGATGCCAAAGGCTTGGCCGCCAGCCTGCTTGATCTCGTCTACAATGGCGTTATAACTTTCCGGCTTGCGGGCGAGTAGCACGACTGGGTACGCCTTTGCGAAACGGACGGCTGCTGCGCGGCCTGCGGTTGCGTTAGCTTCGACTGTGTGTACGTCGCGGGCTACGCTATGGTAGAAATGAGTTCTGACCAGTGCCGGAACCCGCTCCGGATATGATTGCGTAGAATGACTTGGAGGCCATGTTTAATCAGACAACTTGGTATCTAGGGAGTTTTTGAGTGATGTTATCAAGACGATTGTCAATTAGGAACTATGAATTGCAATGAGACTTTATGTGATGCGAAGTTCGTAGGAAGAATAGATGATGGAATATGTGGCTTTATTTCTACTCGAGGATTACATATGGTCGGCATGGCACTGTGAGATTAGACCATTGCTCGGATCCATGACGGCATATGCGGAGGGCCGAACGGGATGCCCGATTATTAATGCCCCCTCTCCGGCAGTGCTCCAATTACGGCCCTCGACCCGGCGTGAAGTGCGACGTGCGACGTGCAAGGGAACATCAGAGAATCGATTAGCAAAAACATTTGAAAATGATGAATTTAGATCAATAATCAACTACCTCTGAGCTAGACACCGCGCAATTGATAGGCTGATCTAGGTATTGCACAACCTTCTCCGCTCTACCTCGGTCATTCCCTTCGCTCGTCGCCTTCCTGTCCCTCAAGGGAGATACTGCTTCGCCAGCACCATTGAGCGCTTGCAATTTCTCTGTCACAATGAAGAGATATCTGTATCACGAGAATAATAAATGCCACCTTGCTCATATTATAATGCGATGGATTTTGTGATGCAAAGGAAGAGAATGAGGATGAGTGACATGGAATAAGAGTCGGGAGCTACGATCCTTGCCCGCGGTGCGAACCGCCCTCAAAGGGTAGGGCCCCGCTTTTTGCCAGCTCCTTCTCTCCAACAAGAGTCGCGCCTGCAACCTATCAACGCGTCGCTAGCTCATCTTTTCGACCTCAAGATCGACCTATACCACATCCCTGGTCGATCGCTCGAGGAGAACTACGGATACCCAACAAGTCGGCACTACCTACCTAGGTTGGTTTCGTACAGACCAGACACGCAGCAAACCTCACAATACTTCGTCACGACTGACTACGACTACGCACTTCGGGCACCTACCAAGACCAACAACATCTTGCCCACCAACATGCTCAAAGACTTCTATACATCTTAGGACCTGTCGAATTTGAGCATATTCATGATGCCACCATTATTTTCCCTGGACTCAAGCATCAAAAATGATCCTGCTTCGCGGGGTCCGGGCCATCCGCCCATCCCACGACAACGCACGCTAGATAAGTTTCTGAGTCGACCGGGCAGCAGCATGCCATCGACTTCTTCCACTTTAGGTGTTCAGACCCAGCCGAGGACATCGACAGCTCAGCCAGCGCCGCGGTCCTCGTTCGCCGTCATTCTGGAATCCAGTCCTCGTAAGCGCACGGGAACAGCCGCCGTGAGGACGGTCGAGGACGACGCAGACGAATTGGTGATATCGGATCTTTCACCACAATTCAGAAAACTCGCAGCTCAAGCAAAGTTGGGCGTGAGTCTCGCCAAGCCAGCCTTACCAGAAGCCATCAAAGATGAGCCAGAGGTCACTTCGCCAGGGGCCGCGACTCCTCCACCGCAGCCTCGCAAGCGTGGCCGGCCAAAGGGCTTTCGACCTGCTCTGATGGGCAACAGAGCCTCACAGGAGGCCGCCGAGAGTGGACCGAGAAAGCTGCGGCCGGACAGGCCCAAGATAGGCGCCTTATACGCGGGGAAACGGCGAGGTCGACCGCCCAAGGCAGCTTCACCAAAGCCGCGAGACATCTACGAGAGTCTAAACCCGCATTTCAACACATACATCTGCGAGTGGAAGGGTTGCCAGGCCGAGCTTCACAATTTTGCGACTCTGCAAAAGCATGTGCTGATTGTTCATGCCAAAAGTGTAGCAGCCAGATGTCGATGGGCAAAGTGCGCCGATCGGCAGCCACCTCGAGAATTCCCCACACCGGCAGACCTCAAATCTCACTTGGAGGATCTCCACATGCTTCCAATCGCCTGGCAGGTAGGGGACGGGCCGCAAGTGTCGTTCAAGCGATATGCTCCCGATGATGGGACCAAGCTCCCTGACTACCTTTTTGACAAGGCCGGCAACCAAATCACACCGTCAATCCGGGATCAGAAGGAAGAGGACTTGTACACGTGGCGCAACAATAGGCGGAAACTCAAGGACCTTTTGCTCTTGAGGGACCAGAACCTGCCGAGCGAGGACGAGGATGACGGAATGGAGGAGGTGGCTGAGGGAGACTGAAGTGGCTGATGGAATGTGGCGCAAGGAAGCAGTTGTGAGTCGCGGGTCGAGTCCTGGCGAGGGCGGCTACGACACCACCGACAAACACTGGATGGCGAGGCGAGCTGACAATGCTTGTGACGACTAAGCTTCATGGCATGGTTTCGGATGAGGGTTGACCGACTGCGCCTCCTTTGGGATGACGGAGACTTCAGGACAACGGGGGTATCCGCTGCAAAGAAGGCCCCTGGAAGTCGTGCGACGGACTCGTTCGGCTTGCTGGAAAGGCCGTTGAGCGGTTTCCCACTTCCCCAGACAAGCATGGATGATTTAATGTGGCCTCACTTGTACTTGACGGGTAGCGGATGAGCCGGAGAGTCGTCGTGTGTCGGAGCATGGTTATTCTTTCGAGAGGGATGGCTTGGCATTGCGGCTCTTGCTAAATTTGACAGTTCAGGCTGATGCAGGAAGGGAAAACGGCGCCAGGGAAGAGTCTGGTCGCATTCCATCTTACATCATCGGCGGGGAGGTGCGGTTTTTTGTGGGGGAGATTGCTCAACGTTGCATGAGGAGACGAAGGTGGAGTGACACCTCGGCATCCAGGGAGGGCCGCTGTGAGGGAAGAAACATGTCCCAGCCCTCTCTCGCGCGTAGCAAGGTGGTGGGAAGTAGGCCGGCTTCCCGGATATCAGTTGAATCCAGTTTCTTCTTAAAGAGGTTTCGGGGTGGGCGAAACGAACAGAGTAAGCAGACATCTGGATCAACGGGAACAGACGAGACAGAGCCTAGAGGACCGCCTAAGAAAATAAAAACCAAAAGAATCTATAGACCAAGTCTAGAATACTTCCCTTGCAGCATAGCAATTCGACAGGCGGCCGACGGACTAAAGTGCTACTGCAGAAGAAAAAGTGAGAGACTGGGCGGGATGATTCGTCGGAAAGCGCACGACACGACGAACCACACCAGCTAGGTACGGAAGGTGGCGATGGATGGCGGCCCCCGCGGTGGTCGTAACTCTTTCTGCTTGGTCAAGTCTTTTCGAGCTTGATTAACAAGCAGGCGGGAAACCTCTAGTGCCCCAGACGACTGGATCGCCGGTCAAAAACCCGCGCGGTCCTGAGTGGTGTGGATGGCTGAAATGGACCGATTGAGGGGGGGTGACTACGCAGCAATGAGGGAATGGAGGGAAACAGCCCGCCGCCACTGCTGCAGGAGACTGTCGGTGTTAGCGCGGGATTGATTACCTACACGATACGCGGCATGCAGGATCAAGTGAAGTACCTATGGCCGTCCATTTCTTGCGTGAAGTAAACCTTGGAGGACGGGTGGCTGATGAATGTCTTGCAAAGTATTGACAGTGCGACAGTGTCTTATTAGACATTTCAGAAACAACCTCAAATATTTTTTTCTTCTTTCTCTCTTTCTTCCCTATCCTCTGGTCATAGGTGGTAGGCGGCAGACGTGGAATGGCCTGCGAGATCAAACACAATGAGGCTTTTTGCCCCGACATCTGTGCCCGTTTTTGCATATTCGTCTGATGATTGATCAATTCTCCCCCTCACTGCTGGTGTTTTGCACGAGCCCTCGAGGGCGAGGGAAAACATGTCAACGGCGGGGATCCTCGTGGGACACAGAGACACGAGAACAGAGACAGAAACAGGGACGTAGGGGACATGATGGTCACCTTGAGAGGCATGGGAGGTTTGTGAGTGCTGGGGCTCTGGCATATAATTGCCGGTGAGCCTCGTATCTCGAGCTGGCGCCGGCGTATCTTGGCCCTAGAGCGTGGCATACGCTCAGTACCAAGCACCAGAGGTTGTGCGTTTGTTTATCCTCAGTCAAGTCTGCCTCCATCGTCGAAACTTGGACGAGCGGGAAAAGATGCATGAGTAAGCACCAGAACGCTTGAAGTGAAAAAAAGAGGAACAAGCTCAGCAAGCAAAGGCATCAACGGTTGGAGAGGCACTAGAGATAGAGTTGGCGAGTAATAGTCTCTCTGTCTTGAAGGTGGTGTGGACGAACAACTGAATGCCTGTAGTCTGTACTCTGTAGGTATCCGGACATACTAGGTACCTAAGGTAGTGTAGAAGAGTCCATTTGCGAGGCGTGGAAAAAGGCCGGCAAAAAAAGCACCAATCGCCGGACCAAATCCCTTTTGTCAGCAAAGCCATCCCAATTCCCGTCTTTGCCATTTTGCAAGCAGCCCGCCCAGAGGCAGGTCAGGAACCTACTATGTACAGGAACCTAGGCCCAGGCCGGGCCCGCTTGAAGCGGAACATCCCTGCCAAAAAGCCGTCCCATTCTGATCTGTAGGTCAATGTACCATCCCCTGCCCCCCCTGGACACGCCGCACAGTATTAAGGCGATGGAAGTCACCTGGTAAACTCCCTCTAACCCCCCCCCCCCCCGAAGGCGCGCATTTCCTGGCTGGCTGCCGTCTTTCGCGTGGGCTGGCACTGGGGCTAGGTACCCCCTGTGCATCGCGGTGCACTGCCCGAGAGCCACTGGACACAGGACAGGCCCGTCGAGAGGTAACAGAGCCCGCCCAGGCGGGGGGCGGCGGCGGCGGCGGCGACAGAAAGAGCGAGACCCAGTGAACTCCCCCAAATGGGCCAAATGGCGCCTGCCTTAGATAGAAGACTGACTACAACTGCGGCGGTGCATCCGGAGACTGTGAACTGGGAACTGTTGGAGGGAGAGAAAGCCACTGTCCATGGGTGACGAGCCTAGACCAGGACTACGACCAGGACCTCCTCGACCTCGACCACGGCCACGGCCATCGACCAACGACCAACGACCAACGACCAACGACCAGCGACCAACGAGCGGGGGGGAGTGGCCTATGAGAAGGTGTGAAGGTGTGGGAGTGTGAAGCCCGTCCGGAAGGACGTCTAAGCCCACATTACTAACTCACTTTGGACTCTCACCTCCCCGTCCATCGCCTACCGCCTACCGTTCCATACCTCTGTCACCTACCTGCCTACCTACCTATCTCTTTCCCTGCTTTGCTTACTGCACCTCCTCCACCACCACCACCCTACCTACCCTTTGGACGCTACTTACACTTAGCATCTAGTCCCACGCTCCTCCCACTTGCTTCACCCTCACCCCCGTTCTCACCTTCACCTTACCTACTCAACCCCGACTTGCCTGCCTGCATACTGCCGCTGCCGCTCCTCTTCCGCTCCATCTCTTCTCCGCACTTCCGAACATCGTCGGCCCTCTTCGCTTCTCCTGTAACTGTCCCGTCAGCCATGGCATCGGTCGCTTGATTGCGCACCCCCGAGATTCCGATATGCCTGCCAGCCGAACCCACCAGAATGGCGCTGCCCAGTTCAACCAGAAGCTGAAGAACCTCTTCCGCATCAACCTCAACAGCGGCGCCGACCGTGACAGGGAGAAGTCCTCCGCTGCTCACGTCCACTCCTCACAAGACGCCGCTGCCACCCGCCCAGAAATCCGGAGCAAGTTCGGCAGCAGCTTCTTCAAGGGCACCGTCGGCCGATTGAGGACCAACACCACCGCTAGCGAAGGCAACCCCCTCGACGAGGCCCTCAGCCCGACCGCGCACGCGAACCCCTACTTTGCCCACCAAGGCCAACCGGGCCTTCGCCATCATAACAACGAATCAGTACCTCCCAGCCCTCCAGACACCCCAAACTTCAAGATTCAAGGTCCTGACGGCGGCCCCGAGCAGCAGACGACGAGCGCCGGACGAGAGGAATTGGCACGGAAACTTAGGAGAGTCGCCAGCGCCCCCAATGCCCAGGGCTTGTTCTCCAAAGGAAAGGGCAGCGCCGAGCGTCCCGCCACCGCCGAGCTGAGCAAGGATCCTTTGGTTCTTGACAAGGACTCGGGCACCCTTGAGATGGTTGACCCGTCCAAGGCGTCCGCTCCTACCCTGGGCGTCCCCGACAAGGACGTCCTCGGAAACCTACCGCCACCCAATCGTACGAATCTCGCGTTCCGGAGGACGTATAGCTCCAACTCCATCAAGGTTCGCGATGTCGAAGTCGGCCCGCAAAGTTTCGACAAGATCAAGTTGATTGGCAAGGGAGATGTTGGCAAGGTCTATCTGGTCCGCGAGAAAAAGAGCAGTCGTCTCTATGCAATGAAAGGTATAGTCAAACCGAGAGATTCAGCAGCCGAACGCCGATGTGGTGCTGACTCGTTGCAGTATTGAGCAAGAAGGAGATGATCAAGCGGAACAAGATCAAGCGCGCCCTCGCCGAGCAAGAAATTCTAGCTACGAGTAACCACCCCTTCATTGTCACGCTGTACCACTCGTTCCAATCCGAGGACTATCTGTATCTCTGCATGGAATACTGCAGTGGTGGAGAGTTCTTCAGGGCGCTGCAGACGCGCCCCGGCAAGTGCATCCCCGAAGACGACGCGAGATTCTACGCCGCAGAGGTCACTGCGGCCTTGGAATACCTGCATTTGATGGGATTCATCTATCGCGACTTGAAGCCAGAGAGTGAGTCGTACGAGCCATTTCCGCGCTTACCAATCGGTTGCTGACATGCTGCGCAGATATCTTGCTCCACCAGTCGGGCCACATCATGCTTTCGGACTTTGACTTGTCTAAGCAGTCCGATCTCGGTGGAAAGCCCACAATGGTCATTGGCAAGACAGGTACCAGCACAACCTCATTGCACATCGACACTCGGTCGTGCATTGCCAACTTCCGCACCAATTCGTTCGTTGGAACCGAAGAGTACATCGCGCCGGAGGTCATTAAGGGTAGCGGCCACACTAGTGCGGTGGATTGGTGGACCTTGGGCATCTTGATTTACGAGATGCTTTACGGGACCACTCCCTTCAAGGGCAAGAACCGAAACGCGACTTTTGCGAACATCTTGAGGGAAGACATTCCCTTCCCCGACCATGCTGGGGCACCTCAACTATCCAAGTAAGCTCCAAATGGCGACACACCGAAGAGTCGTGAACTGACAAGAGTGTAGTCTTTGCAAATCCCTGATTCGCAAACTTCTGATCAAGGACGAGAACCGGAGATTAGG